TACAATCAACTTGAGTTTTATTCCAGACTCAGTCCCCACTAACTGAAGGGATTCATCTCTCTGAACCTTGACCTTTATCTATAAAGAATAATAGTAACGTATTAGTTGAGTCTTACTGTAGTCTAATGACCCCAACACTAAATAAGTTAAATTAGTTATTTGTTCCTCATCAAGCTTCCAGAAGGAGATTTAGGGAATATTTAGAAATGCCTATTTTCTTCACTTATGACTGAAGTGTCTCACCTCAGATAGATGTGTGCACCTGACAAATCACAAGCATTCTTCTGCATAATGTTTTCTTTGAGATGAAATTACCTCCTTTATCAGTCAGGTAACAGGCCTATTTCCTAGGTCCGATAACTCTCTGCTCAGTGTCTTGACTTATATTGGCTACTGTGTAATAGTGTGTTTTAACAAAACTTGTTAATCATTTCACAACTCTAGAAGGTAATAGTTAGTCAACATAGAGTCCTTATTGTCATTGCGGTTCTCTATAAGAAACACAGGTTCATTGACCTTTCCAGAGAAATGGCCAGTTGTTGCTCTATAGAAATTCATATCCACTCACTCTCAACCTCCTACAAGTCCCACTTCCCACATCATACCTGAAAGGTATCCAGAACAACGATGCTGCCTAAACCCTGGAGCTCTAGATCAGATGGGAACTTGAAACACAAGCTACTATTATCCAAGGAGTTTCACAGTAGAGTAGTGTCCTCCCAAAGAAAGGGAGGCTTGTGGCCTATCTTCCTCTCCAACATCACCTTGTCCTGCCTTCCTTTACATTGAATATCCTTTCTGTTCTTGGGGTTGACCCTCTCTCTAATTGGCCAGTCTCTGTAAATGCTCTCTCTGGCACCAGCTGTATAAAACCTCTGATCATTTGTAAGCCCTGGTGCCTTCCCTGAGAGGATCACCTCTATGGAAAGAGGCAAGTGATTAGAAGTAGGGGGCTCATTGCAAAGGAACTAGCTTCACTACAGACAGCTCAAGCCAGCAGCTTTAGAAATACACCAACAGACCCAGAGGAATCTTTCCCTGTGAAGCAGAGATTTTGCTATCAGGGTGGTGTGAGCCATCATGAGGAGGTCTCTGGTCCATGCCTATACCTAAAATACAACTCTGAGCCCTAGGCTCTGATGTCCCCAGCATGCAGCTGGACAATGCCCATACCAGCTTAAGGACCAGAGAGGAATGACAGTCATTGCATTTTGAGCTCTACTATCTTGGATCAATGAAAACAAACTCAGGCTATCTACCTGTTACAAATCCATTTGTAGATTTCTTGAGAAATGTCTATTTATTTGTTTAATGGTGGTACTGGGCTTTGAGCTTCTTACTTATTATGTAGATACTCTACCCTTGAAGCATGTCCCCAGCCCTTTTTGCTTTCATTATTATTATTTTGGATAGGTGCTTATGTTTTCGCTAAGGCCAGTTGGGGCTGTAATCCCCTTACTCCTTCCACACAGCTAGTGTGCCCTACCATGCCCAGCTATTGTTGAGATAGAGTCTGGCTAAGTTTTTGCCTGGGCTGGCCTCAAATCACAATAGTCCTAGTTTCAGCCTCCTGAATAGCTTGCAACTATAGGCATGAACCACTGCACCTGTCCCCAGAAATATCTTTTCCTAAATGGGAATGTTTCCTAGGTAACCAGGCAGGCACCATGAGTCTGAGATCAAAACTCTGAGAAGATATTTCTACATATAGGCTTGAGAGATACTCATTGTTCCCTGCTTCTCCTCTTGCATTTGGCAGAGGGATGCCAATGAGAACTAATTATCTTTAAAAGCATTTACAAATCTATGTGCTACTCCTGTGGACCTGCACCTATGCGGATATGTTTGATTCTGGTTTTCCTGTCTAACATCAAGAGAGGTCTTCATGTTTTGTCCTACAGTCTGGATGAGTTAATGTACAGATAAACCACATGGAAGTTGAGAGAGCAGCACTAAACAGGTTCTGGGCTAGACTAGGCTGAAGGATGTCTGGTTCATGAGTTGGATAAAAGACTAACTCCTTCCTCTCAACTTCCTGGAGGGAGGCTAACATTGGTCAGGAGAACATCTGTGAGGAGAGATAGCTCAGTGGGTATTTCAGAGCCTAATGAAAAGACTGGACTGTGCCCAGCATGTCTGGGGTTAAGTCGCACATCTGGTTAAGTCCCACAGGCTATTCCATTCAGTGGAAGGGGTAAGGTATAAAGTCGAGATTGCAGGGGGAGGTTTGTGAGGTTTGACTCACAGATGAATCTTCTGTAATTTATACAGTATTTTTTGAAATTGCATTAACTGTCAATTTTTTAAAATAGTTTTAAATCTTATATTGTGGATTTCTTCTGGAAAAGAGGACTATCTAGCATTACTGGGTCCACACAGGTAGTTACTTAAGAGTTGAGTAACAGCTGGTGCCTTTAGGTAGGATGCATGTGGTGTGCAGGGTTATCAGGATCAATCAGCAAAACAAGGGGAAGCACTGCATCTACAGGTAGACAGAAGGGCCTGCTGGAGACAGGGAAAGGATCTCATTCATAGCAATAGACCAAGCTTGACTCAGGGTAAGAATGGTCTCTGAAACTGACAGAAAGGGGCAATTGTTTGTGTCCATTCTCTGCTTCTTGGCCATGAGTCACATCACCAGCAGAAGCCAAGAGCCCTCCAGCCTAGAATACCTCAGCCAGTTTGGGCAAGTCTCTGCCTGCCCCCAGTTCAGAGGACTCATTCATTCTCCAAGCTATGGATATCAATTGATCAGCACTACATGTAAAAATCAAGTGGGAAAGAAATAGCATGTTCACTGAATGTGAACTGGGAACTCAAATATGTGTGTGTGTGTGTGTGTGTGTGTGTGTGTGTGTGTGTGTGCATGAATGACACAGGCAACGCCTGAGTGAAAGGGGAAACTCAAATATGCCCAATAACTTTAACTTGCAATTTTCAAGAAATTTTACCCTTGGGGAAAGATTGATAGAAAACAGTGAAAGCTTATGGATGCAAAAGATAATTTTCAGTTTCAAGAAGGTTCAGGTTCAAGAAAAAAAAAACTGCAACTTGTAAATAATGAGCTTCCATACTTCAAAATACATCAGGTCACCACACCACCTCTATGGAATTACCCAAACCATGCCTGATGTTTCACAGCACACAGAAATTAGATTTAGAATAACGGGGATGTATAGGATCAAGAGTCTAAAACTGCTGTCAATGGGATCATGAATACTGCTAGCCTGTTCTGGGTGGTGCTGAGTACCTTCTTCAGACTCCTCATCATGGAGACTCTGACTACAAAGCAGAAACACTGCCATAGAGAAATGTAGAGCAGTCTGAAAGAGGAGGCAAAGCCAGCTGGTAGGCAAAGAATGCAGGCATTACAATGCAGCCATTCTTAGACACCAGCTTCCTGAAACATAAGCCTTCTGATATTTTTTATATTCAAACTTTTGTGGTCTCTTTTTGGATTTGCAACACTCTATATTCCTCTTCTTTTTCCTTCCCATACCAAAGCCACACCTTATGCAGGTGTGGCTAGAAAATATAGTCTAATGGATCATTTTATCCTACTCTGTGAAAACACTTTCCTGCTATTTGAGGGATTTTCCTCCCCATCAGATTGATTTTTCCCTCCCTGGGTCTTCCAAAGAAAGATTCAAAGACACCTATTGCTGCTTGTAATTTTCACAGAATTAAAGCAAGAGAAATGACATACAATCTAAATAGAAAAATCAAACAGAGTCATGAATTGGATATGAATCAGTAAAATAAAGATCAAAAACAAGCAACAGTCTCTGAGCTATTATAACAAATTTTTATGAAGGCATATGCATAAGAATGCTGACTTGCTTTTTAAGTTCTTCAAATGCACTCAGCTCCCTCCTACCCCCTCTCCCCCAGAAAACCTTTAAAAAAAGAACTAAGCCTTTTAAGACAAAGGTAAAATACTAAGCCTATATTCAATACTATATTGCCAAGAAATATTTGAACTGTAGGCTGATCACAGTTTAAAGAAAAAGTTGGAGTGTTGAGAAAAAAGATTATAAAGTCATCTAATTGAATCTATTCATTTTAAAGGAATGACTTTTTCTCTCTAAATAATTAGTGAGAATCTTTTATGTGCCAAGGACCATACCAGGAACTACAAAGCATGCACACATAAACTTCAGGTACGCTTTAATTTTCAAAATGACTGCAAATGCAAAAATGATTTAAGTGAAGAAATACTATTAGTAGATTCAATGAAAACCCTACTTAGCATCTTAGCCAATTCTGAAAGGACTTTGGCCAAAAATTCAACACTCCCTTTATAATCACTGCAACTCATTATTTACAATATAGCAAAGCAATTAAAAAATAAAGAATGGGCCTAAGTCACTTAAGGTACTTATATCCTGTGCCAGTAATGATAGCTACTCAAAATTTTTAAAATAGAAAATAAAAATCACTCAAAGGTGCTAAGCATACATGTCTTGAGGATTTAGCTGTATCTCTGTGGGGCTTACTGCTTTGTCAATTGTGTGCACATATAATTATTTGTATATATATAAATATAGAAAATGTTTCTCATAGGAAGCAAGGACAGTATTATTTGAACAGCAAGGAAGAAACTATTTTCAGTGGATTTTATTTACATAATACTTTTTAATCAAAGAAAAATAAAGTGAGAGCAAGAATAAGCTGACAAGTGGACTTTCTAAGACTCCAGATGTCTCTCAGACTATGGTTTCAGTGACAAGAAGAGGTGACATTGCACAGAGCTCAGGGCACCAGGCTGGAGAGAGTTCTGGCTTGGACATCTGTCTAACCAGCTCAACAGGTTCTTCCTCTTATTCTTCCCCACCCTCCACTCACTGTTCAGGCTGGTTTCACCTGCTGTCCAAACACTGCTCACTGAGCAGCCAATCCCTCCATCAGGCAGGATGGGAAAGTGAGCCAGGCACACAGAAAGAGACTTTCACACAGGAACCATTTCAACTCCAGTGCCCTGCAGATCCACCTGCCCTTACCTGTTGAAGCATTTCCTCAGCAGCATTGAGTTTCACCTGGTGTCCTTCCAGACACACTTCTAAGTCCCGAATCTTTTCTCCTTGGGCTTCTACTTGGTCTGTGAGGACACTCACCTGTTGTGGGAAATAAAGCCAGAGTTGGAGGAGCAGGAGAGTGTGAGAGGCAGGAAAGCTCCCCACTGTACCATATCTGAGCAGTGAAAGCACACCACTGCTTCACATGCAAGGGATGGGCTTTCTCATGGCTGAGGCAGGGCAGAGAAAGTGTCCTGCGTGAAGGTAACTCCAGTTGAATTTTTACCTTACCAGGGAGCCTCCGCCACTGCCTGAATGACGTTGGTCACGATTCCTGATTTTGACAGACTCAAGAGGGAAGCACCCAACAAACAGCTGCCTCTGGGCCGGACTCCTGCTCCTTATTCCTAATAGAGCGGCCCAACCTCAAGGCATATCTCAGCTGACTTGCCAGGACTTCTGCCACCTCACGTGAAAGAACAATCTAAACCTCTATGGAACCAACCAATGACCTTCCCTCTCTCATAAGGGTGTGAGGACTGCTCACCTATCAGGCAAGTGTTTTGAAGCAATTAAAGAATGTGGGAAGTAAAAAGCGTATGTTAGCACTGACAAAACTTGGCACTAGAAGGGTTTCTGTGCCTCACAGGTCAAAACATGACTCTAAGTCATATAACACAGAAGCCACACTGCACATATGTGGCAGAAAAAAAAAAGTCATTTTCTCCTCTGAGGAAATTGGGAAATGAGATCTCTTTTGGAAATATTAGCTTGTATAAATCCATGAGTTATAGCTGATTTAAATTATGGCCTATGTTCATACCACAAGGGTTCTCATAGCCTTCCCTATTCGCAAACTTCCCCAGGATCCTCCCTGTTTTTTTCTTGTTAAGAAACGAAGAAAGGGAATGAGTACCTACCAGAGGTAAAGAAATCAAGAGCTGGTAAATTGAGACCATCCTGGTTAAGAGACTTGGCCCTTTATACATATTATCCTAAATTATTTCTCATGCTTTAATGGAATGATCGATGAAGCGTTAATGAGTTAATGTCAATTCGCACATGAGGGTTTAAATGAACTTTTTGAATGATAAAGTTCCCATTTGAAAATGGTTGAATCTGAATTAACTTGGCTATTTTAAGCATTCCATTTTATACTCTCAAATCATCAATGAATTATTGAAACACATGCATGAAATTGAGATGTGCTCAGAGTTCCATTTCAATCCCCAAAGGGGCTCCTTCTGTCCACAAGGCCCATCTGAAATAACAAGCCTTTCTAAGTTCTTGCCTGTTTGTTTTTTCCTTGGCCAACATTTTCAGCAGCCCTTGCCTTTTCAACTGGCAACTCCATTTGCAAAAGTGGGATTCGAAGGGTGGTTCTGCTTCCAGGGACTCAGAGTTCCTGTTTGGAGAGGTGTCTTATGGGTAATTTCATTATGAAGATTAACAGCTCTACAGCTATACCATATCTGGGCCCAAGTGCTTGGTGGTACCCTGAGGAGTAATGCATAATCTCTAGCATTTTATGGCTCACAGATTCAATGGTGCATAAGACTCAAGACAGGGAGGCAGGGGCTTTATGAACCTCAGTGTTTACTCTGAGTATTACAAATGAATGGAGAAAGGTATAGAAAATTGGGGGCAAAATAAATAAAGACCCAAGAATGGGACGGGCTTCCATTTAATAAAAACAAAGGTTTGTTGAGCTCCTACTTTCATGTTAGGCATAATTTTAGGTATTGGGGATACAGAATTAAAGGTAAAAAAGGATGGAAATCTTTGTCTTGTCAAAATTAAATTACAATGAAGATATGAAAGATTTTAATTTTGTTTTAACTTACTCCTGGAAACAGAGTATTTTGTTATGCATGATTGATCTTGTTCTTCTACAAATAGACTCAGGAAAGCGTTGTAGGCCAAGGACTGCAATTAATTCAATCAGACTAAGCTGCTGTGTGGATTGAGCAAGAGGCAGATGTGGCTGATCTGCCTAACCAGCTCCACCAGCCACAGGATTAGAAGTGAGCCCAGAATGGCTGCTCTGGGAGTGTGTCCGCAGACTCCAGGCACTAGGGTTGTTGGAGGTGTGGTTCTAGTGGTAGAGTGGTGGCCTAGCAAGCTTGAAGCCCTCAGTTCATACCTAGAACCATGAAACCAAAATAAACAAAAATACTAAGGTCAACTTCTAACTTTGTGGTAAATAGGGATTCCTGATTATGTTAGAATTCTTTAAATCTCTCTTATTATTATTTTTTTTTTTTGTCAGTTGTTAGAACTGTAGGCTTGGGCGCTGTCCTTCATCTCTTCAGATCAAGGCTAGCCCACTACCACTTGAGCCACAGCACCACTTCCAGCTTTTTTCTTTTTGCTCATGTGGTGCTGAGGCATCGAACCCAGGGCCTCAGGTATGCAGGGCAAGCGCTCTACCACTGAGCCACTTTCCCAGCCCTACATAGGACTTTTTTAAAATTAATTTGTAATCCCCTCTGAATAGGAATGTATTAGTTCAATCATGAAGGTTCCTCGATCAAAATTCTGCAATTTCATACTGTTTGCTGCAAAATTCTAAACTGGATACTCTTTCATTAATCATGTCATTGGGATGGGGTTTCAAGTTACAAATCCCTGAAAACATCTGTGATATATACCTCCTCACAACAACACTCCCCTGCCCCTCCAACACCCTCCGCCCAGCCCCCGCCCCCATGTCTCAAGGTGGCTACTCCCCTGGATCCCTTTCTCCACAGTACTGACTGCAGGGGCAATGCTCCCTTGCTGTGTTCCCCCACACTGAACACACTCCTGTTTCAGTGTGGGCTGCACTGACTACCTCCCCAGCCTGGAATGCACTTCTCCAGCTATCTGCATGCTTCCCTCCCTAGCTTCCTCCGGACCACAGAGTTCTTACTTGGCTCTATTTTTCTCCATAGCACTTATACCACCCAAAATAGTTTGTTCACTTCTTTACTGTTTGCTCACTCTCCCTCTCTAGCTTTCTCTATACAAGAATAGGGACTTGGTCTGATTTGTTCACTTCTGTATCCCCAGTATCTAAAGTCAGTGTTTGACAGATGAGTGGCAGATACTCAATTATTTTACCATGGCTTAGTTATTTAAAAATCAATGGCCCTGGGTTCAATTCCTCAGCACCACATAAGCAGAAAAAGCCAGAAGTGATGATGTGGCTCAAGAAGTAGAGTGCTAACATTGAGCTGAAGAGCTGAGGGACAGTGCGCAGGCCCAGAGTTCAGGCCCCACGACCAAGCAAAAAATAAATAAACTAAAAATTAAAAAATCAATGATATGAAGAAAAGCTAGTCTATGAAATTGTATGTTTGATATGAGCTTATTTAAGGGAAGAAGGGCAGAACAAAAAAAAAAAAAAAAAACAGGGAAAATCTACTTCTTTAAAAAATCGTTCTTTACAAAAGCACAATGCCTGTGAGCCTCTGATCTTACAAAATAATTGAAATGAATGTCAGAAAATGGAAACAAGTAGTTTTTTTTTCTTTGTTGCTTTTTGGGTTTTTTTTGTCTTGTTTGTTCATTTATCTGTCTTTGGGAGGGTAAGGGGAGGCACAGAAATGGGGGAACAAAGGGTAAACAAATGCAGCAGTGGTACTCACTGGATACTATATTGAAAATGAACTACACGACTTGTGGGTGCGGATGGGAGGGAAAAACTGCAAGGGAAGGGGTGACACTGTCCACAAAGAAATGTACTCTTTGCCTGAATTATATAACTGTTAACTCCTCTGTGCTTTTATAGTAACAATTAAAAATTATTCTTCAATTTCCAGATTCTACTATCACTGATAACTCTAATGGCCATAAAAAGAGATAAGATAAAAAGAGAACAAATAAACTCTGCCACAGCACAACTCTAGTGCTACAAAATAAAGCCCACAATCTGGGGTGGATTTATCTGTCTCCTTGCATTTGACTATCAGTTTTATTTATCACCCTTCAACCTTTATAGAAAGCTTTACATTCTCTAAATCATCAATCAATATCTGATGCTTATCAGACCTTTAGTATAAGCTAAATCCATTTAGATACTAGAGCAAAGAGTTCTGCTTTGGCAATAGACCACTTATCAGAATGCATTACTTCAGGCCTACTCAAGAACACAGCTTTCAGAAATGAAAAGGTTTGTTTGGCTCTTTTTCCATGAGAAGTTTTAGAGTTCCTCTCTTCAAAGCAAGGGAGCCATCAAAGGCTTACAGTCCTAGGGCATTTGGCCTCAAAGTTATCAGTGTAGATCCAGTTTAGGGCTTGCATTGGACTCTATTACCACTCAAACTTAGTCCAGCATCACTCACTCACATGTCTAATTCTTAGCAACCTGAAGCTGTAACTCCTCTCCCTTATGGGACACATGGGCTCCCAAAGGACACAGCACCTGGCAGTCAGCCAGTCATTCCAGTGTGTAGAAACAGGTGCTTGGTAGTTGAATGATAAATTAATTAATGAATTCGCAGCCCTCACTAAGCCACGCCTAGAGTTATATTGTGTCCCACTTACTTTCTGGCTTGTTTCAGGAAAAGTTTGTTTGAAAAATATACGCTGGGAGCAGATATTTTCCAAGAAAGAATACCCCATGATTCCTCAAATGTGGAAACTCCAAACTATAAGTTACCGGAAAGCTGGTTTTCCCATCCAGAAGAACTTACCTGTAAGATGAGGGACTCCTTATCACCTTCTAAACGGGCCAAGCGTTCCTGGTAGGTTTCATTACTAGCAGCACTGTGGTGATTTTCCTGGAAGAAAAGAGAAGAAAACTACACTTACCATGCTGGAAAAACACTACCAACTTCCAAATGCAATGTAAACAATTTATGAGGAGAGTTTCACTGATTCTATGTGCAAAACCATTCACCATAACAAGAAAGCACAGATTTCAAAACAACTACAAGAAGGACCAAACCACATGCCACTGAAAGGTGTGCTCTGGATGATGGTGCAACCAGCCCTGATGACTTCACCCTTGGCCAGGAGGGCCTCCACAGAGCTCCAGACCAGCAGCTCTTGGCTTGATGGGACACGCTGGGTCTGGTTCAGCTGGAGGTACAGCCTGCCAGAGGCACAGCAATAGTAAGGGTTTTCTCTTTGAGGAGACCAGGGAGATGGTACTATTCAACAAAAAAAATCTATGTGGGCACAACTGGGGCACAGATCTGGCTGTTTCCTAACTTTCATACCAATGTTGTCTAGAGTGTATCTTCCAGTTCTGAACATCACAGTAGCGTAGCGCATGCGGGTTGCCAGCTGCAAGGCTCTTCCTTGACTTACATGTTCTTTCCTACCCCAAACCCACCTGACAAGGGCTTTGGCAACCAGGCTGGCATATGGCTTTCCAAAGTGCTAGAGCTAAGACAAATAGGCTACAATGAAATATTTTGAGAATAATCTTCATAGTAGCCAGAGGAAGATCTAAGCAAAGAGAGAACAGGAAATGCAAGGTTGGTAGAAACTACAAGAGAAAGGAAAGGGAGAAGATGTGAAATGTCAGAGGAGAATCAGAATCTCATAAAATGTGATTGACTAGATATAGGAGTTGTCACTTTCTAGGGTGTGTCTGACCTGGTTTAGGCAAGGAGGAGGGTAGGAGCTACGAAGGGCACTGAGCTGGCCCCAATACCACCAAAGTTCACTTGCTCTGTGTTAAATAGAAAGCAAAAATGAGGCGCCCACAATAAGCCATCCAGAGTGCTGCAGTCTGAAAAAAGTAAATCTCATTACTAAATGGAATAGCTGAAAAAAGTAAATCACATTGCTAAATGGGAAATCTACCATAAGTTTGCTAATATCAATGTTCTGGGATTCATGAGTCAGGTGTTTACCACCCCAGAGGAAAGTCATGATTGTGCAAATGGGTCATGCTTATCTTGAGGCCATTCCCCACATATTTTAACTTTGGATGGACTATCCAACCTCTCTCCATGAGAAAGGATACCTCTTTCCTCTCTCATCCTACTCCTTCCTAATGCAGAGCCTATGTGAGGGAAAGTGACAGATCCATTCCCAGTCCAAGAAGCAGAGACCAAGCATTCTACATTCCAGTCCTAGAGTCTCACTAGTGAATGAAGCACTGGTTGTTTGTTGAAGGTACAGTGGGAGAATGAGCCTGGTGGCACTTCCCTGGGTGGCTGTGCCAGGCACAGTCTGCATGGCTCATGGGGCCTACTGCTACATCACTGACTTCTATTCCAGGCCTGCTCAAGCCTGTGTCTTGTCCATTGTTATGGAAGTTCTTTCATACCAGAGACAAAGGGCCTTCACAATTACAAATGACTTCTTTATGGGTTGCAGTTTATTGTTGTTACATTACTATTCCAGGAGCCTGGACTTGATCAAACTCTCTGGGGTTAGCAACAGAAGGTCTATAATAATCTACATTTATTTTTTCAGAACCTGATAGGAAAACAGTTCTGGAGAGCAGGTGGAATCCTCCTTATTAAAGGACATACAATGGTGATTTTCAGTGGACAGAAAGAACACTTCCAAATGATATTTTGCACATCAGATGGCAGGACCAACTCAGCACCAGTGCGTACCTTTTCCATCAAGAAGTCAAAGAGAGAAGGTCCAAGGGTAAATCCTTTTATAGACTGCAGCAAGTCACCACACCCACTGTGCTCTCTTCAATCATTTGAAATATGTGAATATTTGCAATTTTATGTTGTCTTGTCATCTACTTTTTAAATATAAGTTTAATTTTTTCATACCAGAAGTAGGATTGTTACCCTAGTATTAGAAACCCAGTTTCTAATACTATATCCCCTCAGAGATTAGTGATAACTCAGATACATCTCCTTTTCCCACCACTGCCTTTCAAAGACTTGCCTCAAAACTTAAGGTAGCCACCACTGAGTCTCAACCTAATGTCTTTTTTTCTTTGCAGCAATTAACCTTTCTATAGGAAACCAGTCTGAGTAATGCCCAGAGCCCAGCAAAGGTGTTGGTTTACTGTTTCTCCTAAATGTCTGTGCTCCCTGACCTCCATATGTGTCCTCTACATGCATATGTGCTCTCCAGGGGCTGTATGGAATGGCATGGTATTAATGCCATTGAAGCCCTGCCAGCAATCTGACCTCAGGTGGTAAGGACTCCTAGAAGCCCCATGCATGTGGCACTCATGCAGGTGGCTCTCCAGCACACACTTTTTTGTCTGGGACTTTGGTAGCTAAGAGGGACAGTAGCTACCAGCTGAACTGATAATGAAGCTCATTCACAATAGTCCCTCATTATAATAAACCATTTGTACAAGTTAATAAAAAAAATGATGGTTAACAAAGTAAATTGAAGACATAAGTTCAGCTAACACTGGAAAAATGTGTGTCATAGTTCATAATATCTGTTAGAAGTTGATCAAGTATTTGAATTTACTCTAGCAGCCAACAGAAGAGAATCCTTGTCAATTGAAAGATGCACAGATCAGATGAGTTTGGTGGCTCAGGCCTATAATCCTAGCTACTCAGGAGGCTGAGATCTGATGATCATAGTTTGAAGGCAGCCCAGGCAGAAAAGTCCATGAGGCTCTCATCTCTAATTAACCTTCAAAAAATGTATGGAGCTATGGCTCAAGTTAGTAGAGTACTAGCCTTGAACAAAAAAGCTAAGGGACGGTGTCAAGCCCTAAGTTCAAGCCCTGGTACCAAAACAAACAAACAAAAAAAAAACTAAAGCAAACAAACAAACAAAAAAACAGCTGGGTGTGGTAGTGCATACCAGTAATCCTATTTAGGATGCAGAGGTAGGAGGATGGTGAGTTCTCTCTGTAAGCCTGGTACAAGTAGAGAGACCTTGAAGAGAGGGTTGAGGGAGCTAAGGGAGAAGGGGGGAGGAGGGACAAGGAAGGGGAGGGGAGAAGAAATCAAAACTTCAAAAATCAAACTGCCTGCCTAAAATCAAATTTACTCCTGGGCAAGAGAGAAACTGTTCATGTTTTCACTGAGGCTTTGTAATGAGATAAACAATATCTATGACAATACTTTTATGGTAGACAGATGAGCAAAATACACTGCTTTTGAGTTGCTTGAAAAGTAGGTCAAAGGCTAATGGAAAATATGGGCCAAAAGCCAAAGCAATTCCATGAGACCAATACAGACTGTCCAAGCACAGTGCCATCAATACATATCATTCACCACATGACAGGCACTGTCCAGAGCACTTTATGTGCATTAATTCATTTAATCTTTCCCATGACCTCATAAAATAGATGTTATTTTTGTTTCCATTTTACTAGTAAAGCACAAAGCATCTTCAGACACAATGGATTAGTTTGCCCTCGTTATGTAGTAAGCTAGTATGCTTCCATTGTTTTAGCGTGAGAGAATAGATCACGTATAAATTTGTCTTAAATATTGGGACTGCATGATTATTCACTAAAGGTTGAAAAATATCTTTAACAGAGGAATGGCTGAATAAATGACACTTTATGGGCAATTTGTAGCACTCTGAAATATGTGACAGATAGGTATGCACATCATAGAAATATGTAATTGGCTAGGAAAAAAGCAAGATCCAAAGCAATTACCATGAAAGTAGAAAGCAACATAGCCCCATAGTTATTTACATATACGTGAAAATAAGTAGAAAGCTGCCTTTTAACAGTGCTCTCTTTTGGGGAGAGATGTGGTGGTATCAATGGTCAAGAGGGATGTTAACCATATTATCTGAGTTTCTTAACAAAATGTTTTTTCTTGAGTATTTCAAATGCATTAGAAACACTATTTAAGGACGTGTAGGGGTTCTTGGTACTTCTGACTGCCAACAGACTTAAGAGATGAATCCTTCCCTATGGGTCATCCTGGTCCATCACTGTCCTCTTATACCAGCCTCCAGAATCACTGCTGTTCTAACCTTAAACAGTGGTTAAATTGCAGAAAGACCAATATCTGCAGTTATCACCTAGATTAAGACTTGCAGCCCCTCAGAAGGGCACAGGCCAGGATATACTCCAGCCTCTACCCAAAAGCACTTGAAAACAAGACCAGGAATTTTATTGGAATGATTTTCTTCAACATCAATGTTCAATAGCCAGAAGTTAAAGATTTGAGTTTGGATGAATAGATTTAAACTCCTTAGTCTACTAATTGGCAAACAGGCTTAATCACTTTCTGATGTCATCTTGCATTATGAAACAACTGCATCACCAGGACACAAGAACAATCATGTGATAAGGAAAATGTGATTCCAATTTGAGAGACATGTTTTAAGAGGCAGAGTTAAGACATAGCACTGTTCTGTTCTACTTTAAAAGAGCTTGCTTTGTCACAGTTTTGCTTAACTTTAATGGTGGAATAACAGTAGAAGTCTTAAATCAACACTGAGACCACACATCCAGATCCCTGAGTGCTTCCAGTTTTGAAGAGTCCTGGAAAGTCTTATCTGTGTTCTGTATTAGGTAAGTCAATGATAAAGCAGTATCTTAGATCCTTGTGTGTAAATTCACATTGAAAGAACCATGTCCACATCCCACTGAGAAGACAAGTGGGATTTTGAAAGATGTTATAGGCTAGCTAACTCTTTCCCCACATTACAGGATGGCAAGTGAATCTACCCTGTTAAGGATGCTCATCCTATTATTCAGTTAATGATACTAGTCCCTAGGCTAGTGAACGTCCAATGAACGTACTCAGTATTGTTACACATATATTTGACCAAAACTTTTTCTCTATGTTGACAGTTCTTGCTACATATGTAACAGAAGGAAAAAAATCAATCTTCTCACTAGATTTTCAAGGTCTGACTATTC